AATGGTTTTTTAATCATATTTTGATGATTTTCTGAACATGGTCATATATCTGTTTAGCCGGCTACCTTGGTTGCACTGCTCAAATCCTAAACATGGTCAACCGAAGTTGTAAATCTAGAACTTCCGGTTAGCTGGATAATATCCTATTTGAATGGCTACATATGTTGATACCCGTATAAGGGTAAATCAAGATATGTAGCCATTCAAATATGATATTAGCCAGCTAATTGGAAGTTCTAGATTTACAACTTTGGTTGACCATGTTAAGGATTTGAGCAGTGCAACCAAGGTACCCGGCTAACATCGACGCACTTCAAAAGCGTTAAAGTACTTGTCTAGTATGACAAGATTTCTGATACTGTGTTATCCTAACACCAACTGGTTCTTCTCCCTAGAAAAATCCTCTTCGGTCGTAAACAAGGTGGTGCTACCTCGTCAATTCCTTCTATTTTGAAAGGATAAACAATTGTAATCCATGTTTCTAATCAGAAAAAATTGAGTTTCAAAATTATTAGTATAGATGAAATGGTCGGGGTTTAGCTGCAAGTAAAGAGATGAAAGAGGAAAATAGGAAACAATTTTAAATTCCAAAATTTTTAAAATTTTTAAGGAAATTGGTAAACTTTATCTTGATGAAGATTTGGGTGCAGAGAATAAGATCTTTTTGTCGATTTGTCTACATGTAGCCATAGATTTTGACACTGTCCAATATAGGGGTAGCAGGGTCCATAAAATACACAATCGAAGGACAAATAGTAGAATTTGGTAAATCACTAAATACACATAAGTTCTTTGGTGTACGTCCTAATTTCTCTTTTTTATATGTATAAGTATAATATTTCAGTGAAAAGAAACAAAAGTAGTAACGTCAAGTCCATGCAACATAAAAAACAATTATGTAACTATCCAAGTGGATTTGAAAATAAAAAATAAGAAACAACAAGTTTGAAAAAGGACAGAAAACAGATCGAGCAGATAATGCTCATCAATGTCTAGCAGACTGAGAGTATGGGCAAGACAGAGTTTGTACCGAAAAATGCTTCTTCTTCGTCTTCTTAATGGTTTAAAATTCCTTTTATTCGAAAATTATTCTTTTATTTGGTTTTGTGTTCATTTGAATATGATATTGGCATCTATTTGTGTCGTTTGGTAGTCTAATTCAAAACCAGAATACGTATATGATAACTGTGTGCGCTCATTGGATTACATAGAAGAGGAAGAGAAGAGTCAAGATAGGAGAGACATTGTGGCTTACATGTTCTGCCTTTTAAACAACAACTCATCTCTCCTAACCCATTTTCAAACACACACACGCATTGTCCACTTGTTTCAACAAAATATCTAGAATAATATAATCAACATAACAAACAATACCGAATCAAACATATATCATGAGGAAAAAAAATCTTGTCCGAGTATTTTATATATACCAATGATAAGTGTTAGATATATACATAGTATGTGAAAAATCTTATTAAACTATGGAAATAAGGATAGTACATTTGTACACAATATTAACTATCCCTTATAAAACTTATTTATCTCTTAGCAAAAAAAAAAATATTTATCAAAATTTATAACTCATAAATATATCTGTTTATGAGTTATATGTGTTTAATTTACATTCTACATTCCTTAAAGGAAGAAATGGTAGTCTACTGGTTATCTTGTGAAAATAACTAAAATTTAAAACAAAATACGTAAGGTGTCTCTCAAGTAGAAATTATATGGCATATGATAAAAATTCAGTCAAAAAAAATTGTATGGCATATGTCGATGGACGATAATGACAGGTTAATCTGTCATGCCCAGTTTAACTGCCTAATAATGCTTATACCTATAACGTATTGACCAATATTTACAATTTACAATTTACAATTTACGATATAGATATGAGTTTTATGATTGCAAATAAAAAAACGGCAAATGGAACTTACTATGATCAAATCATGAAAACGATTCAAAAGCAATTATTTTATCTTTTTGAAACAAGGGTTTATAGTATTAAATTTTTTTTTTTTTTTATTATATTTTTGTTGTCCTGGAATTTTCACATCGACATTTAGAATTATCTTATGTGTAAAAAATCTGAAAAAAAGATAAATGAAAACGCACGAACATAACCGAAGAAGAAATTTTTAATCAATTAAACTAAAAAAAAAATATATTTGGTAACCCAACCAAAAAATACTTTCTTCATATAACCCCAGACAAAAAAACAAAACCAAAGTGGATCGTCTGCAAGAATACTTCAATTATATAGTTCATACATTTAAAAAAAAAAATATGAAAGTCATGTTTCCCATCTGGAGAGAAATCATGGGTTAGAGCAAAGAGTGTGTGTCCAATTAATAAACCCAAAAGAAAAAGAGCAATGTGTATGATCGTAGGAATAATCATCATGGATTACAATCTGATTTGTACCCTGGCTTCGTAGATACTGAGTTGTGGAACCGATCATACGCTTTGTCGTAGAAACATGACTGGAACCACAAATGGTAACTCATTCATGTTTTGGCAATTATGATTGGTCGACAGTGGAAACAATGGTCTCAAGAAAATAAAATGTATTGATTTAAAATTAATACAAATAAACTAGATATTCCTCTCAAGAACCAACGGTCAACAATACACGTTGACTTAAGGGAAAAGTCGCCACCCAAACTAATATAGAAAATATTCAAAATAAATAGACTTGACCCCAAAAACATTCATAAGAAAGAAAGAAAAATCCCAAGAGAGTAGTTATATAAAAAAACTGTTAGATATATCAATATAGCTACAAATCTTGAGTCGATGCTTGACGCGATGCCCGCCATTTGATTCTATCTTCTTTGCAAAGAAGAAAAATATATATTTATATATTCCTTATTCTTGTTTCTTGATAATAAGTTCAATGTTTTAGTCTTCCGAGTCTAGGGTGTGGCAATGTGATCATTCTCTCTGGAGATAGAGTTCTATCTGAACATGGAGATGAGTGATTGAAAGACAACTTCATCACAAGGGATAGTGAGACCCATGTCGTGTTCGAACCCAAACTCTTCCTCAGCTAGTTGAAGGAGTGTCTGAAACTCAGGATGAGCTAGCCATGAGATTGGGACCACGTAGCGACTACGTTGCTGACCAACGTAGACCGGGAAGTGACCTTTTGGCACGTCGTTGAAGTAGCAATTACCTTGATTCTTCTTTCCAAGACTTGAGCATCTTTTCAAGATTTTCTTTAGAGATGCCGACTGAGACGCTGCTGCCACTTTGTTCAACTTCTTTATCGCCATGATTTGAGCTTATTGAAACTTAACTTGTTTAGAGAGATAAAGAGGAGAAAAGGGAGAGAAGAGGGAGTTTGGTATGTTTGAATAAAGGTGTGGATGTGAAGGTGGTGGTGGGTATGGAGGGGTATATAAGGACACAATGAGAGAGAGAAATTGTAAGAGATTATTAAATTAATAAGAAAAATATATACTTGTAGATATTTCTTTTTACAAAGATTTTTTAGGTTTACTTATGACTTTTAGAAGAATTGGGACTAGGTTATATGTATTATATACAAAATAACGACTAATTCATGCAGAAACACATGAAGTGTTTTTCTTTGGGATATAAATCATATCCATATTAATGCAAACCACAAACTCGCATAAACCTGTACAATCCGCGTAAAATACAAAAATATAAGTCAAAAAACAAACTCAAAGTACTTTTATATTGGTATATTATATAATTAAATCTCATTAAAATCCAACCACTTTTTGCAAGAAAATAAATTCAAACACATTTTTATTTATACTCACGTTAATTTTTTTTATCATAACTTACAAGTTTAAGGTGTATGACTCAGAGCAACTAATGCTATTTTCTTTTTTGCATCAATGGATATATAACTGAACTGATCAGGAATAATCCTCCAAAATGTTCCTATACCACTATCGATTTAACAAAAAAAAATACATACAAACTGAACTTTTTATTTGTGTATTTTTTAAAAAAACATATATATCATTTGGGATGCAGGAAATAAGAGAAAATTTAGAAACATACCATTAGATAAATAGAGAGATAATGTGAAAGAATGCAATACACAATAAATTTAAAATTTTTATAAATAAAGTAGGAAAACCACATCGTGGTGGTCTAGTGGTTTCCATTGAATGAAAAGTCGCCATGTTGGTTCCAGTAAAAGATTGATTCTTCTCCATTGCGAAATTACTAATTCTTCATGTGGTTAAATAATATGGGTCTCTAACTTCTACGTAGAGTATCGGACTTAACAGTGGGATAGCCTTCAGAAGATTAGTCGGTTAGGCGGCATGCCGGATACTTAACAAAAATAAAAAGTAGAGACTATAATATATAGTGCCCTACATTGTCTCCATGTAGTATATTTCTTTTAGGCACAACGCTACAACTTAATACAAGTGGTACCGGTTTCCTCTTCACTTGATAGACACTCTTCTTCAGATTTTGTCTCTACTGAAACTTCCAAGTTTATTACAACTAATATGTACATATAAAATATAGTGTGGCCGTTAATATATTATATACCCGTTTTGTCATAAACTGATTCCGTTGCAAAGGGATTACGGACGAAGGTATACGCGAAGTGTGAACTGAAGTACGTACTTGCAAAATCACATGTCATTTCCTACATGTAGAGTGGCCAACACTTTAATGCCCATTATTTTTATTTTCTTTTTATTTAATGTACACATTAATATGGAATACATCACACAAAACAATTGTAGTTCGGCGGTTTTAAATTTTTTGGTTGAAGTGGATTAGCCAATTTCGGTTAAAACATACTGGTTATTGCAGATTCATATGACATGTTGAAATGTCGGCTCATCAAAATTTTCTTCTTGTCCCAATCGGAAAACTACCTCATAAGTTTTGTTATAATTTATGTTACCATCGATTTTGGTAGGTTTGGTTAAAAATCCAACTTGGTTCAGCTTTTTTGACAGTTGTAAGAACGTTGTTTTTAATATTAGATTTCGCATTATGTATGCAGTTGATTAATATATGGGAAAAGATTGTCCTCATGTAAAATTTTGAAAATAAAAACAAATGCTTAGGTTTGAACCTAATCTTTTTGCTTAATTGGTATTAAATCCATGCAAGTTCCCATCTCCGTTCTCCGATGCATTGCGTTCCACGTACTTCTGTCCTTTTCTTTTCACCTGTTTACTCCTTTATTTCAATGTGATGACTGCTGAATCAATCACTATCCTCAAACAATTTCACCTTTGGCTTTATGATAAATCCATGGTAACTAATTGCAAATTTCCCGTGGTAAAAACTGCCAAAAAAATAAAGAAAAAATTTAAAAGGTGATGAAAAGGACTGTTGGCAATCTCTACACTAATTCTCATCTAATCGATATTTTAATCATGTGAAGTCTTACAAGTTATTTGTTTATACGGTAGAACATAGACTTTAGACATGTAAAAGCTAGACTTTTAGTCCAAACATCATTGGTAACATGAACATGCATCTATGTGCATGATGGGTAACTAAAACAACTCCTGTAACATCTTAGGGTACGTCTGAACATATAATCAAGAAGGAGCCAATATTTTCTTCATCTTCTTATTCAAACAAACACGATATAGTACTTTAACTAAGTAGAGCAATGGGTTAGTGCTATGTATAAACTCTTTTGATATATAGCAATGGGTTAGCAATGGGTTAGTGCTATATAGAAAAAAAAAAAACTCTTTTGATTATCGTTTTGGTTCAAAACTTGAAATAAGGTAGTAGCGCATTCATGTGTTGGTTATTACACGCGGTTCATCTCACTTTCAGCTAGCAAAGTTAGTTTAGGAGATTAGTATACAACTAATATTTAGTCTCTTAAGATTTGTGTACAATTTTCAAATAAACTCTTTAAAGATTTATTTTGTTTAGAGATTTTACGATATTTCAAGAAATAATGACAAGTAGAAAGAAATAAGAAAGAAAAGAGGTTAAGAGTTTGACTCATCTGAAACATTAAGAGGAGGGATATATATAAACTGAATCTGTATCTTTTCAAATAATATGAAAACGTTAAATATGAAACTGCCGTCGCAAATGAAAGAAGGAGAAAAGTAACTAAACCCCAAATGTAGAAGATGGGATTTTGGCATTTTGTCCTAGTTAAAGATTTTAACTTATCAAGAAAGAAAACAAAAAGAGGAGATGGTGTGTGTAGGGACAAAGGAGAAGGAGAGAGTAAGAGAATTAATCAGGTAGAAATGAAATATAATGAAAAGAAGAATCCATGGCTCTCCTGAGTTGACGCTTCGGCTGTGGTTATAATAACTTGTAGACATGATCCTTCACAGTCTTCTTACCCCCACACCCAATTCGTCATCATCTTCATTAACAAATTATTATTATCATCTTTTCGACAATAATAATAATTCTCTCGACTTTTACCCAATTTACATATTTGGATCAGTTTAGATACAAATACATATAACTTTTTAAAATTAATACTTTCTAAATTAATATACACTAAAAATATCTATAAAATAATATAATTTTATATTTTTAAATTGAGTTTTTAGTTCAATTAATATATCGATGAATTAATAATATCTATACATTAATAAAAAATATAGTTTTTGTGTAGTCAATATTATTAACTTATGGAAATTTCACTGTATATATATATACGTGTTAACGGCAATGATCATATCTATTATTTGATCAGATTTGTTGTTTAGAATGATTCAAATCTTCATAAAACTTGAAAGAACCTAGAACAGAAATATCAAACACAAATATTTTATTTGAAACAGTAACACAAAAAAGTGGAATTTGTGAGAGCATTATATGTCTAAAAAAAAGAAAAATAAACTCAGAACCTTTGAAGAATTGTAAGAAAAGAGATTGATTTTGTAACGTAGGTGGTATGATGTGATGTAGGTGGCCTGATGTAGATATAAGGCAAACTGACTTATCAGGCTTCGGTGAGTAGATTTTCCCTCTGGCATTTTTATCCATATTCAAAACTACCAAAGGGACAGTTCCTAGCGACAAAAGGTACAAACAAATATTATATTTATTATTTATTTTGAAAGAGTTTTTCCTTAATTTCCTTACAAATTCAATTTCCAATTCAAAGATTATAAAAGGGACAGCTCCTAACGACAAAATGCATAAAAGAATATTAATAATAAAAAGCTTAAAATATCTATTTTTTTTAAAAAAAAAAATCTTCTTATTCCTCCTTTTTAGCATTGATCACTTTCTGGAAATTTAAAAACTGCGTATCATAGAAGTTTTTTGAAAAGATTAAAAAGTACTTAGCTAAAGAATTCACCTCAATATGGGAATAATACCATAACAACCAATAGAAAATTAACAGAAAATTATATATATATATATATATATATATATATATATATATCTGCTAACAATATATAAAATTTTCCATGTAAACATGTTTATATAAAAATATATTTAGTTTTTTTACCAAAAAAAGGAAATATTTATTAAAATATATAAGCAAAATATAAGTTTGAACATGATATTATTTTATTATCACGTAATCCGACAAATGTAAAAATAGTTGTGTTATCCATGACAATACTTATATCAGGTAAATTTCATTTAATGTATAGAATTAGTTGATAAATATATAAAATGTTAGTTCCACAAAAGTACAACTAAAGAGAGACATCAGAGTTGTCATATCCCTTAAACACTGTAGGATCCATGTCTGCAAAAATGTATGACTCTCCCATGTGGCCCGGCACCTACCTCCCAACAATAACAACTCAGCAAATCTTTAGCACCACAAGCTTATGATATATTATTTCCTCTAATAACATCCGAGCCACAAAATTGATTTTGGATGATTTATGATGAGAGATGTTTGTTTCTCGCACCCCCACGTTCTAAGGCCACAAGAGTAGACCATTGTCTTCAGTCTTTCTACTGATTACAACTCTTTGCAGTTTTTAAATTACATTCGAGGTGAGTCTCCTCTGATAACTGTCAGTGTCACAATATGTACTCCAGTTTCTCTTTTCTTAGGAGAAAAAGATTTGAATGTGTTTATTCTTCCAGTTTTAGAGAGACTAAAAAAGTCATTTCAAAGTGCTTCCTGTTTGTAAGTGCCTAAGATTGGTGGATGCTCTCATGTTCTGTGAATGAAAATGACCATACCAGAAATGATTTATTACATTATTTGTAGAGGAGACAATGCATGTCATTGTCACAATAATGGAAGACTTTGATCCTTTCTACTTGTGTTCTTCCAGTGATTTTTCTTCTTAATGAAAACATGATTGTTTCGACGACCAATAGAAAGCTTGGTTTTGATTATTTGGCCCCAGGTCAAAACATTTATGTCATGTATACAAATTTACATTCTCTCAGCTTGTTCTATTCTTTGCAAGTGTAAAGTAACATGACCATTGTGGCATTCAGTCAGAATTCTCAGTTTGAGTGATTGTTCGGACTAAAGTAATATTACATGATGTGATATTAGATCTAGGGAAATTACAGGCTTCAGCCTCAAAATATTCAAAAAGTGTATGTCATGTAAGTGTTATACATATACCAAATACAAACTCAAACGTTTGCATATGAAACATGAAAAAGTTTGAAGTTATGTGATCTTGAAACTAGATCAATCTATTGATATTGGAAGATCCAAAAGATTCGTACGATGTATCATTTCTAGGTCCAATGAAATTTATAGGTATAAGAAGAAGCATAGAGATTTTGTTTTTGACCATATTTTGTTTGTTAATACGATATTGAAGGTTCTATATCGTATTAACATGATGTGGTGTCGGATCTAGGGAGATTACGGGCTTCAACCTTGGAATATTCCAAAAAATAGTGTACGACATGTTAGTGTTATACATATACTAAATGCTAACTTACACGTTTGCATTTGAAACATGAAAAAGTTTGGAGTTTTGTGATCTGTAAGCTGGATCCGTGTGCGTGTCTATAAACTACTTCAAAACTATGCTTTGGAAAGTACTAACATCATATGTGTAGTTATATTGATAGTGCTTTCATAAGAAACTCATTGTCGATCACTTGTTAGAGCCTGAAATCCAGACTCCAGCGTATGACGCTATTTGAACAAACATGTGATATTGTAAGAAAATCTTCCAATGGATAAGTTCAGAGACGATGCCAACAAAGAAGCAACAACTTATCAGGTGAGCATCCCACAGATCAACTATGATTGCTTTATTTACATTTTAGTCAATGGGCTTTTAAGCCAATTGGATCATATGTTATTGTCGGCATGTTATTTACATATTATAAACATTAGAGTGCAACACTCAAAAAGAGCACCAAAAGTATACGAACCTCTCTTCAGTCCGTACACCAAAATTGGGATAGTGTGTGTGATACACGATAGAGAATGGAGCTAATCGACAACGAAGAACACCATTTTCTCCGCAAGTATCAGCCATCAGATCTTAAGATTGCTTCGGAGTTTATAACCACTTGGCTACAGGCTACGTACCTTATATAGAGATCTCTGCTGAGACTGCGTCCATGTGCCCCTTATAAACTATGGTGGAAACTGGAAACTGATGACAACTTCTCATATGGTTAAGGGAGCAAACAATACTGATGACAAACTTACAGTTATGGTATCCTTTCGTTTTATGATGTTTTTCTAGAAGGAACGCCAAAACAAAAGGACGTTTAATCAAGTCAGAGACTCAGCCAGAGGTAAGCTGTTTTGCCTTAATGGTGTTAGGAGGTGTGGCAAAGAATACAGAACCTAATGCAAAAAAGCCTACCTCTCTGCAAAGGACATAAAAAGCTTAATTTATGTCACAAAGCTGTGGTTATACTTATTTCAAAAATGGGCGTCACAAAATTCCGAGACAAGTAGCCCAGTGGTGATAATGTGAATGGTTTTAGCTGTCAGGAACGAGGGATTGAATCTACTGAACTAAGGTACACCGACACCGTAGTCCGTAGAACCTTATCGATGTCGGTAAATAGTCATTGCTTCTATCTCTCGAGTCTTGTTGACCAATGTGTAACGTTGCTGGATTTAGCTGCTTTCACGTTCCTGTCTCTATCATTTTATAATGTAATCGCTTTTTCATGTGATTATTTAATTAGTTTTTAGTTTTGTAACGCTGTTAATTGTTAGATATCCATATGGTAATAGTAATATACTAGTTACAAGTTGCAGAAATATAATAATAAGGTATATTACTTGATTCACATGGAATACTATATACGTATCACGTATGTATGTCTAATGTAGTTATGTATTATTTTAATGTATATATAAATGGAGGATGACGAGAAAGCACAAAATGCTTATAGTAAATTAGTAATAGAAGGGAATGTGTCACCATGAAATGGTGTCAATTTTCTGATGTCACTTGCGATTGTTTTATACAAGTTAGAAAACTTACGTTATTTGGCTTTTGAAGATGTCAAAAGTCTTGAAGATAATTCTTCTTTGATCTCTAAGTTTAAAAGGGAACAATGTGTCTATTTTTTGTTGAAGGTGTTAATCATCCTTCACAGTTGAGCTTAAAGGTAAAAAAAATGGACTGAATGAATATGATCCACAAGATTTAGATAAGTTTTATCAAAAAGAATTTGATTGGACGGGCACTAACCACACCAATTGGATTAGGACTGGGCAATCGGGGTCCCAATCGGGTTTCGGTTCGGGTTCATTCGGGTTTCAAATTTTCGGGTTTATGAATTTCAGTCTCATTCGGATATCATAAAAAAAAATTGGGTCGGATTCGATTCGGGTTATCTCAGGTTCGGTTCGGATTTAGTAACGTATCCAAGATCAGATTGAACTCGAAATAGTTTATGTTTTGGATACTAATCGGGTTATAGGTTCTAAAAATACTAATTTATACTCTATTAAACTCAATATATTTTTAATCGTTTTAATAAATTTGTGTATTTATTTTTTTCAAACCATATTATTGTCTTTCAAAATTATATTATGAAACTTGTCTATCAACCATATATGATAATATTGTGAAATTCGTCTATCAACCACATAAGATTTATCTTTGGAGTATATATGACAACACTAAACATATCATAATTAATAACAGACCAAAATTTTGTATGAACAAAAATCATATATAATTAAATATAAAAAATTAAAATTAACAACTAATAATTCTATAAACGTAAGAAATACTATTTAAACTTAAAAAAATAACAGCATTGTTTAAATTTCAGAACAAATTTATTCGTAACTAAACTTCAAAGGTAATGTCAAATATAAACATTAGTATTAACCAAACAAAACTATATAATAGAGTAAGTATTTGACTTGATTATTCAGGTAATAACTAATTATTGTAGGTACTCAAGAATATCATATTGTATTTTGGAAACATATTCGAAATTGAGATTGAATATGGTACAAGTTTTTTAAAATATTAAAATATTGGATTCTTTCGGATATCTATTTAAGTTTGGGTTCGATTCGGGTAAAATCCATAATCTGAAATACCGCAAAACAAGATCCATTCGGTATCTATGTCGAGTTTAGACCGATTCAGATTTTTTTAATCGAATCCGATTCGATTCGGATTTTCGGGTTCAGTTTTTTTCCCAATCCTAATTGGATTTTGATAGCAAACTATAGCACTTGTTTTGGGGTATCAAAGATGATCAAACACGTGGTTGGAGAAGAGGTAGAGACTATATTTGATTACAATAGTTTAAAACAATCACTCAATCACCATCTTCTAGAGCCAAAATACTGTCCATTAGCTTCTCTACAACTACGAGATCAACTTGCAAAAGGCCTAAGGGAGATTGAAATGGGCACGACAATTTTCATAGGTTGATCCCGTTTAAGACATATCAAAGTAATGATTTTGACAACAACTTAAACTTGTGATTATCTTCGAAACTATCAATTTAAATAACACTTATCTAGATCATTTGGTTACTAGATAATTTATCACTGGTGGATTTATCCACGTGAATGAGTTTGTTCTTTCAAAAGTTACCATGCATATTAACTTTCAAAAGCTTAGCTTAAGTCAAAATTCAATGATTTGATACTAATAAAATGAGGTTAATAATCATCATCCGTGATTCCGGTTCTTATGAACTACCTCTTCCTTCTAAAGAATACACATAGAAATAAAATAATTCAGTCGACTTTTCTTCAACGAATAATTAGTAAGAAAATAAAACAAATAACCGACTTTTCCTTGAATGAGACAGCCATAATCTCCCTCGCTAGAAGATAAATCAGAGAATGTATGCATATTAGTACTCGATTTTATACTATCATGTAATCTAGCGAAGAGAAATTTCTCCATGAATAATTAATAAGAAAATCGCATAAATATTTCATAAATGTTTGTATGGTGGGAGGTAAAGCTTCTTTTCTTTTGGCAAACCTTTAGATGTATAGAAAGACTTTTCATCTGAATTCTAAAAATATATTTGTGTTTTCTCAGTATCCAACAAAACAATGTATGGTCGAAATAATGTCTCCATACAAGTACACAATCATGAATATATCCTTTGTAGAAGAATCCAATTTCGAATTTCCATCATAGTTTAAAAACTTGCATGTATTTAAACTTATCACTAAAAACATAGACTAAAAATCTGTTTTCTCGCAGTTAATGATTGTTTAGTTTATTAAAAACAAATTACTTTTCATCTAGTTTGTTAATAAGACAATTACAGCTACGGCGATCTTACGTTTCATATCTTCACTGCAATAATTCCAACTACATAAGCTCCACAGGATCTGCCTTAACCTTTATGTAGCATGTAATTAAAAACACTAATTGAGTATTAAATTATTAATCAACCAATTAATGACTAATCACTTCTCCCCCTATAAATAGATCCTTCCACTACTTCTTCCGTCTCACTTCCTTCCCTCCAACAAAAACAACAAAGACAAAACGCAGCCGTTTCAAAGCAAATATGTTTTCTTCTTCTCCAACTTCTTTCACTCACACATTCCTCTCTTCACCGCCTCTCTCCCCCATATCTCCACCGTCTCGTGCAACTCGCATCTCGCCTCCTCCCGCCTCCGCCTCTTGCTTCTACACCTGCTCGGATGATTCCCCAAGACCTCATCCGCTCCCGCGGCGTTTGAGAACGGCCACCGCTTCTCTCTACGAGATTCTTGAAGTTCCTCACGGCGCCACCAGCCAAGACATCAAATCTGCTTACCGGAGACTGGCCAGGATCTGCCATCCGGACGTGGCGGGAACTGATAGGACGAACTCTTCTTCTTCTTCGGCGGATGAGTTCATGAAGATCCACGCGGCTTACTGCACGCTTTCTGATCCTGAGAAACGCTCTGTTTACGATCGGAGGATGCTTCGGCGGAGCCGTCCGTTGACCGTTGGTACCTCCGGGATGGGAAGTTACGTTGGTCGGAACTGGGAAACTGATCAGTGCTGGTAGCGAGTTGAGTCTCGGTGACAGAGTTTTAAAATAGGAAACGTTAATTATGGGCTTGACGCTGTAATCAATATTAGTAATTAGCTGGCAACGGACGTGGATTAGTGTGCTATACCGTTGGTTCCGTGTTACGTAGGATCTACGTGTTTTTTTACCTTGTGAATCCTATGTTAGTCAATGAAATAATACTTTAATTTCGTTTTTATGATTATCTAAGAATTAACTTATAACATGTTTTTTGAGAATTTATAATATTACCTCCTTCCAGAGCAAATGAAAAAGTAATCAAGAAACGAATCTAATATGAATTACGCCTTGTTAAAATTAACTTTTTGTTTGTATGACTGACCTTATAATTTCTATACTGTTGTCGGTTTGTAACAATATATTTGGAGTTCAATTTGAAAAAAAAATTATAATTATTAGAATGCATCCATAGGTGATTATATCATCTGGCCCACAAAATGACTGATATTATACAACACGTTAACATGACCAATGAAAGATGATTTCTTCAATGTGAACCAAACATAGCGATCACTTTTGAGAGGATCTTGCAAGTACTTAGTTGAGAGATGCTGAGTTAATAAATGAGGAGACCAACCTGATTATAACAATACATCTCGACTCCTCTTTGTATCGATCAATCTTATATAATAACATTACGACTGTGTACCTATTCAGCTGTGTGGTCACGGAAACAAACACAATCTGCCATCAAAATTGTAGTACGACAGTAAATTCATCTACATAGCACCGCTTTATTTGATGCGATTCTCATTCTATTGATATGCTCAAAATGTAAGCTATTGTTCAAACTTATGAGTTTACAACTTATGAGTTTACATTTGTAAATCTTTCTTTTATTTATATGGTTTGACATTTGGGACATAAAACCACTCAACTCATGCATGTTACATGAAGAAAAATAGGATTAAATGTTAGACATGGTGAGATAGAAATTGGAAGCATTATTGGGACAAAAGCATGCATAATTTTCTTAAGTTGAAAATTATTTGCATGACTTTGTTGATAAACGATTACCATAATAATAACTCCCACGTCATATTTAGGTTTATTGGGGCCTAGTGGCGACAAAAGTACGACTCCCTTTTAGATAGTGGAAACTGGAAAAGTAACCATGTTTCTCAGTGGCTAGATCTTCTTCTACCATAAATCATTGCCGTATTTTATCATAATTAGTTGGGATTTAATCTTAACTAGGTAATAACTCGCGTCTTGAGCACAATGAGATTATTAATTTCATTATTTCTTAAGAATATATTATGTTTGTTTCATTTGGATATTGATTCAGTTTTATTTTAGTTTTCTTGTTTTTAATCTATTAAAATATAATTATTTTTTGTGGTAGAAAAATATAATTACTATTATTAATAAATATTTATTTTGTTTATTCGGTTAAAATGCTTGGGAGTTTTTAAATTTTTAATGATAACCAAAAATATTATTATTTGTTTGCTTTCATGCTATATAAATTTTAGACATTTATAATGTCAAACCAATGATTTCATGTTATAATTTCAAACGGTATTATACAGATAATAATTAGAATTCTTATAGTGCATATTTAGTTATATATGTGCTCACGTCAATGTACACATGTATGTAGGAATATTCATAAATTTTAATTTCATTTGTCATTTTTTCGCTTTGAACAAAAAAATTGGATATACATAACGTTACGAAAAAAGCAAATACTAATATGCTATATCCATAAAGACGAAGTAAATCACAAATACTAAAAAATTTAAAAACAAATATTTGATACGATTCGTTCTATGCTTATATATATATATATATAAATTATATAAATAATATTTTTTATATAATTTTTACAATATTTGTATTTACAAAATTTATTAAATTAGGTATTGTATTCAAAAAAAGTAAATAAATTATTATATTTGTAGAATTTTTTTATTATTTTGGATTTTTATTGATTTTTAATTCTGTTATTTATTTTACGGATTGAAACTGGTTAAAATATAATTTTTTCGGGATACAATATATATGGATTGCTACGAATAGAATCAAATAATTGATTATTTAGACGAAACATATTGGATCCCGAGTATCTCCAAAACTTCGGATATATCTCCAAAATTTCGGATATCTGATGCGTACTCACTCTTACATGTATGTGTATGTAAAAAATATAAAGATGATTGATAAATATATAAAGATACGGTAATTTACATTAAAAGAAATTTTTATTTAAAATAACACATAAAATATAATATTCTATTAAAATAAATTTAGTAAAGATCAAATAAACCTTTGTATAACTCATAAAACCATATATGTAAGTTTTATATTGAAAAAAAACATAAAATAATATACAATGTAAACATATTTATGTAGAGTTTGGCTGAGAAACTTTCTACAAGTGATACGTCAATATACTTATTTTCAAATTGCTTTAAAACTGTCACAAGACAAATTTAATATGAACATATTAAATGATAATGCTTTTCCTTAATATGTAGGAGATATAAAAAATATTGCATGCTGTGCTATCCTTCTAGAAGCTAAAAACAGTGTCACGTCAAAGTTAAGTTCAATTGATGAGACCACTCATAATGGAAGTGTTAGAATCTTGAATAAACATTTTTCTGTGAAGAGGTTGAAATTTGGGAACAAGTCTATGTGATATTAACTGTGTTGTAAATATCATATTTGAAAAAAAAATTTATAGGTCAGCTTTGCTATATGGTACAATTGGATATAGATTTTGTTAGGTAAGTTTGTTTAATTTTTATTTCCACCCAATAGTTTAAATTTATTTAGTATATAATAATTTAAAAATAAAAATAATATCAAAGTTCATGATTTTATGATTTATAAATAGAAACTAAACACATTTCATTTGGATGCAATAAAAACGTGATCTTCATCATAATCAACTATTTTAGATTTTTAACATTTTTGTTAAACATTAATTTTAGTATTATTTTTTTAAAACGTAAGATAAGTATAGAAATAAAATATTTTTTATTTTACTTTTAAGTTAATCACAGTCAAATATTATTAACATGTAGTCATTATATTATAAAAATTAAAAATATGAATTAGAAAAGGTGGGGTAGACTGTTTAATTTTTTAATACTTGATAAATTAATAAATACCATAAATTAATAAAAAAGTTCATCTCATATTGGACCAGTTCAAGATATGACACAAATAGATAAGATAGTAAGTTAATACTTTTAAGAAAATCTTATGTAAATATATACTCCCATGAAAATTATAAATTAATAATTTACATGTATGCATGCGCGAGAGAACTACCCGCCCCATGGCCGTCAGGCTGGCCCTGCAGGGCACCGACCCCAATTCTTCCATTATGAATTTTCACTAACTCCATAATTAGGTTGCTGGTGAGACTCGAATCCAAATATTCACCCTTTAACAGCACTCCCGCATGATAAACTATCACCAATTAATTTTATATAGTACAAATAAACCATAATGTTATTTGTGTTAATATTCCTACTAGATTTATTTCCATATTTTCTTAATACTTAGCATATTTTGATGATATTTAATAAAATTATTTCTAAAACCATATTTAAAATTTATTAAACATGTTTTATATACTTCCAAAAACATATTTTTTGTGTGACGAAATTATATTAAAATCAGAAATATATAGGGCCAAAAATGAGACCCAATATCAAGGTTCAAACATGTATAGAAACAGATGAAACTACATTTTGTTAGCTAACAAATCAACTTTACGGTTCTTAGATCGTGGAATGAGAGAGAATGAGATAGAGGCGAACGCAGTGGCACTACAAGAAAACACATCGATTCCTAGGGACGATTTCCTCGGAATGTCGTCGGAATCAGGCGATTCCGACGATATTCCGAAAAAAATTTCCCTCGGAAAAATCTCCTCGGAATCATAGTTTTCGTCGGAATTTCCTGGGAATATTCCGAGGACATTCCGACGGACAATATTCCGAGGACATTCCGAGGATGTTTTCCGATGGAACCGTTTGTCGGAATTTCAACGAAAATTTCCGAGGGAAGATACTACTCGGAATATTCCGAGGAAGCCAGCCGTCGGAATATTCCGAGGACTTCTATCTCTCGGTAAATTCCGAGGAAAGGTATTCCTCGGAATAATTCGAGGGATGGTATTCCTGAGAATATTCCGACGGATATTCCGAGGAATGTTTTCCCTCAGAATATTCCGAGAAATATCATTCCTCGGAAATTTCGTAATTTTTAATTTTTTTAAAAATAATATAAATTTATTTTTAAAAAATTAAAATTGAAAATTAAAATTTAAAATTTTTAAATTCAAAATTGAAATTCAAATAAAAACATAATTTAGATAATGTTAAAAAGTAATATTCAAAACAGAAATTCAAAACAGAAACAAGAAATAAAAAGAACTACTCCTCGTCGTCGTCGTCGAAGTTATGCTCTGGGAATTGCTTCAAGAACGCCTCCATCATCTTCTCACTCCGCCTCCTTTCTGCCTTACTAGCAGCCTCTTGAGCCGCCATCTTCGCCTCCAACATAGCGAT